TAAAACTCTCCTCTAAAGATTCCTAATTTCACTCAAAATAATTAAACTATCCTATAAAATATTCAAAAAAATTTGTCTTTTATTCTTTTTGTTTTACTTTTTTTTGAGCTAAGATCAATCATTCTCCACCTTTATTTTTTTTCTGGACAATTCTAGAGTAGCAACTTCATCATCTACATCGATTGTGATATCAGGTTGGAGTTGTATTTTTTGTGCTGCTATCTTTCCTGTGCTCATTAATCTTGTATCCTCTCGTTTAACTTCACAAAGAAGTTAAATGCATTTTCGATGTTCAGCACAAACTTCTTGAAATACAGATATTAATTTTATTCTATTTTAATAAGAATAAGTGTTAATTTTACATATAGGAAATTCTTTGTATTTCTAATTTATTACTTAAATAAGATTAGGAGCTACCTCTTTTTTCTACAATGAATTATTCTGATGTGTATCTAATAAGAGTTTCTGCTATGTTAATAATATTATCTTTACTCTATCTCTGTCATTTTCTACAAAGAAATAAACTAAATACCTACATTTTTCGTTGCCAATTTACCTTAGATTATAATATTAATATTTAATTTATTTAGTATTTGAAGAACAAAATATGAAATTTATGAATACATACTATTTTTTCTTATATCTTCCATGGAGAATTCTTATTTGATTGAGATAAAATTATTAAATTATTCTTCAATATAACTCAGTCTTTGCTTCTTTAATAGATATGCCTTATGTTAATGCCAATTCAAGTGATTCATGAATGTTTTCAGAATTTTAGAATTATTTCTATCACTTTCCTATTTGTAATGAAAATAACTTGATTCTTTTGAAGAATATCTTTGAACATTCTGATAATTTCTTCATATATAATTCCTTGTATTCTTTTACATGATAAATATTACTAACAATAGAGATTAATGTTTCTATTGTGACGCCCTTGGGTTCACACAAGGCTGCAGTCCGAGGTGAAACCAGAAATGTCAAACCTGCCATGCACCACACCGTGCAATAACATGTTTCACCATCGCAATTACTATCTCTCTAGTGGAATCAACATCAGGTGTAGTACAAAGCAAGTAATAGATTGTACAAGAGTCAACTGATGAAATAATAGAGATCAAATTAATATTTCATCATCTAATATACTGGAATACAAGTAAATGTCTGAAATAAATAAACTGGAGTTCTCAACAAGTCTCAAGTACAAAATGTCTGACAAGAGGAAATAAGGCACACAGCCTTTACAACTTCTAGAATAAAACTCTCACATGTCTACACAAAAAAAAACCTACAGTGGAGTTCAAAAGAAAATATAACTAAATAGACGACTGAGCTAAAGTACATTGCCATCAACCTGCGACTCTCCGGGCTCCTGGCTCGTTACCTGAAAGGGGGAGGGACAACGAGCGTCAAAGTGCTAGCGAGCAACATCACAACCAACCCCAAGGGATAGGGCTCGTTGTATATGGAAATACAGTTAATACATAAATATAAATCATTTACACAAACATTAATGGGTTTTAGTACTTAGGGAAATACAACACGAGCATAGGTACGTCGAGCGAAATAATAAGAGTGTCCAACACGAGGACTAAACAGAAATGCATGTCCAATACGAGGACTGGGTGAAATGAATGTCCAACACGAGGACTAAGTAAAGTGGATGTCCAACACGAGGACTAAATGAAAAGAATGTCCAACACGAGGACTAATCAGTAATGCATGTCCAACACGAGGACTGGGTGAAATGAATGTCCAACACGAGGACTAAGTAAAGTGGATGTCCAACACGAGGACTAAATGAAAAGGATGTCCAACACGAGGACTAATCAGTAATGCATGTCCAACACGAGGACTGGGTAAGATGAATGTCCAACATGAGGACTAAGTAAAGTGGATGTCCAACACGAGGACTAAATGAAAAGGATGTCCAACACGAGGACTAATCAGTAATGCATGTCCAACGCGAGGACTAAAATGAATGAAAATATAAACACTGCAATCTAATACCCGATAAACAAGGCAACTTCTCATATTCAAGAATGATAAACAGTACCCTCGAACATATGAACACAGTCTATATATATATACACACAGCAGGTGATTTAACAGAAACACAAATAAGACAAGAAAGACTTCGATGAGTCGACTCGTGCTCAGTTATGAGTCAACTCATGTCTCATGGGTCGACTCATGATCTGTTACGAGTTGACTCAACAGAATACATATGATAACAGGAAATGACTTCGTGAGTCGGCTCATGGTTAGTTATGAGTTGACTCATGACTTATGGGTCGATTCGTATACTGACAAGTCGACTCAGCAGAAGTAAAAAGGCAACACAACTAGACTTCGTGAGTCGACTCATGACAGTCATGGGTCGACTCAACCTGATGAGTCGACTCGTGATGAGTCGTGAGTCGACTTACGGGCTGAAATCTGCATATATCACAACTGCAACTCGTCCATCTCGATCCATACTTCCACTATACTGATCTACACCTCCCTAACTATTAATTCTAAACTATGAGGCAGTGAAAGAATTCATACATAGCATGAGAAATGATTACTTGCATGTTAAACCTAACATTTAACCCCTAAACATGAAAAAGAGCATTTAATCAAAATAAAACTCATATTTTCATTTCTTTAAATAAATTCCCAGATCTGGGTTTTCATCAAAAACTTGTTGGTGGATGTTTAAAATCTAAAAACATACGATCTTTAGCATTTACACTAATAAGAACATTGTTTTATATTTGAAAATATGTCTTAGGCTCAATAAAACTCATGAAAAACGTTTATAAATTCATAAAAGCATGGGAGAGAGATTGGGCGAGATGTTACTCGCCTCAGATGTGATGAAGAACGATTCCCTTCGCTGAAATCCAAAAGAAACTGCTGAAAAATCCTTTGGAACGTCCCAAAATCACCAAGAACACCTAGGGTTTGAGAGAGGAGAGAGGGGGACTAGGGTTTCTGGGGAGAACTGATGAATTGAAGTGTTTTCGGGTAGAGGAGCATATATATAAACAGTCAAACCCGACCCGATACCCCAAACTGACCCGAACCATAAAACTGGAAAACCCTCGATGAGTCGACTCATGCTCAGTCGTGAGTCGACTCATGACTCATGGCTTATGGGTCGACTCATAATATAATGAGTCGACTCAGCAGAGACTTATGACAACGGGAGATGATATCATGAGTCGACTCATGACAGTCATGGGTCGACTCATGAGCTGAAAACTGAGTTCTTTGACTCTGATGCCTATGATTTGCAAATTTGCAAACTCAACCTCATAACTAATGCATATATACATTCTCATAAGCTCAAAAATGCTAGATTTCATGCACAACCATGCCATGAAGATATTTTTCACATATTGAATATTGCGTTTCACTAATATCCACATATATGAATTATCAAAATCAACGAGGTCTTACATCTATATTATAATCAATTAATGCTAAGCTATTATATTATAGTCTTTTATTATTTTTATGAATTTAAACATCTATCAATTAATGTTACTAATGTATTTTTGTTGCTCCAACTTATTAATAAAACTATATGCAATTACTTTAATTTATATAGTGACAATAATTTTTAAGTTATAATATTTTTAAAATTTGTATTCCTTAACCGGATGTTTTTAATCAATTCTTACTACTTTTGTTTATCAGTATCAACTTAGACTATTTTTAGATGCTGAAAAGGGATAGTAAATCCTAAATTATATATATATTGAAAGAATACCAAACAATTATACTTTCCTTTGCCAAGTTTTAAACTTTCAGCCCTTTTGTGGTTTTGAACTTTGAGGGTGTGATTTGTACTTTTTAAACCTTTGTGAGTGTTTTTAAAAAAATTACTTTTAAGTTTGGTAGTTGTAACTTCTATATTTCACATGTTAGTGATAATTTTGAAATGTCAGGATATTTCTTACAACTCTGAAATTTTGAGGGTGCTTTTTATAATTATTAAAACTGTAGATTAGTTTTAAAAAAATTCAAACTTTAGTGGTCCACTAATAATTTCCAGGTTTGATGTGCACTGGTTATAAATTTTAAAATTTTAGAGTTTTTGCGATTTCTAAATTTTGAAGGAGTTTTTTTATAGTTTTTGTAACTTTGAGGTTAATTTCATCAAATTTTAAAATTTTAAGTGCATGCCTAAGGGTAATCTCTTGAATTCATCTTTTGTTATTTAAAAATTTAGAATTTTAGAATTTTAGGGTGTTTTTTATAATTTGAACTTTTAATGGTGTTTCCATAAATTTTGAGACATTGAGGGTGCTAATTGAAAATTTTAAATTCATCGGAGATTGCTGTTAATTTATTGATTTCATGTTTGTTGTTTTAAGTTTTGAAATGTCAGAAATTTTTAGGTGCATCATGGTAATCCCTTGAATTCATCTATGTTGTTTGTAAGTTTTGAAAATTTAGAATTTGAGGTTGTTTGTTTATAATTTGAACTTTTGAGAGCGTTTCTGTAATTTTTGAGACATTCACTACAAGAAATCGGGTATTTAACGATCAAAATTAGCGAAGGGACCAGTTAACCGTCATTAATGTATGTAAAATAACGACGGTTTTAAAGCCCTTCATCGAGTTATCACAATTATTAGAGAAATTATGTGAGATGGGATAACGGTTTTCTAATCCCTTTGTTGATTTGGTTCTAATACCGTCGTTATTGGGTCTCCTGAAAGGCGAAGGAGTATATTACCATCGTTGATGATACTCCTAATCATAATAGGATTGATATTTTAACCTATTACTATTAATTAACAAGACCCACAATCACAATCACCAAAGCCCCGAGTAGAACCCGAAACCCAAAATCCAAAATCGCCCATAAAATCTCGTATTCATCCCTCTAAACGCCTGCCGCAAAATAATTGACCCTAGATTAACAAAAAAATCGCCTATTGTTCATTGTTCTTCACCAAACGTCCGAATTTCTTGTCGTTCATCTTGCTAAAACACGCGAGCCTCCGCTGCTCCAACTTCGCCGTCCACAAGTTCTCCGCCGCGCCCAGTGTCGCCAGCCGATGTAGCTTCGCCCGTCGTTGCCTCAGCACAGTCCCAGCCCCAGCGTCGCCTGCCTCTGCCCGCGTTCCTGCCACAGTGCCGACCCAGCGCCGCCAACCGTCGCTCAGTGCCTGCCCTATCGTCGCCCCGTTATTGGCGTCACCCCAGCATCGCCAGATCTTCGCCGCAGCCCTTCGTCGCTGCCCCTGCCAGCCGTTCGTTTATGTGGTATAATTGCGCACTTAAATCCCTATAATTGCACTTAAATCCCTATAGTTTGTTTCCAGTGGTATAATCAGTTGTAACCTAGATTGGAATCACCAAAGACCAAGAATGTTCAAATCCAAAAATAAATAACTAAACAGAATAAGAATCTGAAAAATGTAATCAGGCAAAAACCTGGATTGGTGTCCACCCACAGGGATCTGGATAAACCCCTGAACCATTCCAACTTCTGCCAACAAAGCCCTGAATCATCAAGAACAGAGCTTGTTGCTCTGTTTTCTCCATCGGAGCTGCTTGGTCATCTGATTCACAAAGTACAAGAGAGAAGAAGAGAAGGAACTGAAGAAGGAAAACAAACTTAGTATTCATTTTTCTCCCTTCCATTTGTAAGTTTGAACAGAGAGGTTAAGAAGTGCATAAATATATATAAAAGAAGCAGTAGGAAAGAGAATCCAGAGACTAGCTAGATTATTAATTAGAGGATGTTTAAGGATTGACACTTAAGAAGAAGCATGATTCACACCAATAGAAACAAGCTCAACATCTCATGAAGCTAATAAGGTGGACTATTTATTAAGCCTTTTGGTTGAAATAGATAGAATGAATGAAGAAAAGAATCAAAGGTTAGGTTCTTTAACGCCCTATCATTTAGGTATCAAAGGAGAAGGGAATTTAATGTCTTTGAGAATTTAGAAGGGAGAGTGAGGAGGTGGATAACTTTCTACAGTGAAGTTTAAAAGGTAGAGGCCAAACCAAAACAACGGTGGTATAATTGCACTTAAATCCCTATAGTTTAGCCAACTTTGTACTTTTACCATAAAGACCCTATACATTAGCTATGAATTGTTGTATTATAAGATTTAGATTGTCGGCTAGTCATAAATATTCAGCTATCCATAAGTGGTGTTTGCTTGTTTGTCATTTTCTCTTCGAAAGAAATGGAGATTGGCTATTATGTATTTAATTTATGTGGAAATATCTTCTGCCTAAATGGAAATCTGTGGATATTTTGATTTTAGTGTTCGTTTCCTTATTAGACACTTAATCATGCTGAATTCCTTACTTTGCATTACAGGTACTCAAAACATTAGCAGTTTTGTTGTCAAGAGGTAACAAATAGTTTAACAAGAAAGCTCAGTCTGTAGGCTGTCGATTTATAGGTATGAAAACTTGCCATTTTTATTTTTCACACTGCCTGAAAGTATGATTTGTCTGTTCCAAATTGGCTGTCTTTCAAACCAACCTCTCTTCTTGTAATTTTATTTTGAGCTAATGGAAAGCAATCTCCTTGAGTTTACTTCTAGTTGATTTGGTCTCTGTTTTATGATATACAACTATAGTCATATGAATATGGCATGCATACACACACATACATACATACGTACATACATACATGCACAATGCATACATACGCACATGCATATATGCATATGTGTGAGCACGTCCGCGTTGCATATATATGAACGGACATGTATGTGTCCCGCATTTTTTTGAGACTACATTTTGTCTTTGTATCACGTATTGTGCAACATCTTGGTGTGCTGTTTTAGTAACCGTGTGTCATAATCCTTAACTCCTTTGGCCTGAGCAAGCCTACTAATATAAACTATAGTAGCTTGGTACATTTGCTTAAATGGCTTTAGGTTAGCGCATTGCATTTCTTCACTGTCGGTGCTTAGTTAATATCTCATATACATCATATAACTATCTTAAATTCTATTACAAAATCATGGGAAGCACTTGGAATCTTTGTTAGCAAGTTCACATTTATGCAAACTTTATGTAGATCTCAATTTAGTTCTTTTCTGAACCAAATTATATGTTTACTTTTTCATTCTACAAACTAGGATACAACTCACTGCTAATTGAGTAAGCTGGATGAGATTCATATCATCTGACTATTAGGCAGGCATGGTCAGGGTTAAGCAAGCTTATCGAGTCAGGTTTGGGCCAGCCTAGTGCAGGTCTGGTCAAAACTGATTTGCCTGTATACCTGATTGCAACCGCTATTGTAGGGCTATGTGAAATTGGTCAAAATGGGTAAAAGGTAACTTTCATTTGATGCTGATTTTGCTTGGTATTTGGCTTCAGGTTGACCAGCTTAGACTAGGGATTAATGTCCATCGACTGTATGTTGGTGGACGTGATATTGGAATGCCTAGATGGAGGTGACAAAAGAATAGGGTTATTTTCACAAAGCCTTCCTCAACTTTTGGGGGTTGGTGGTGTTGCACAGGAAATATGTGAAAGAAAATTCATTACAAGTTGCACTTAGAAATAAACCTACAGAAGTGAGTGTTGATAACTGTGATTGGCTAGTTAAGGAACGTTATTTTTCTTCAAAATTCTAGGTATTAATCTCCTAATTTTATTAATTTTGTTCCATGTATATTATTAGATTGTTGAAATTATCTTTTAATCTTGATGTATAGAAAGCAAGCCAACAAAATACACTTAACAGAGGCAAAAGAAAGATGCTCCACCACATGGGCAGCAAATCCTTTAGACAAATCGCGTGGGAATTAGTATACATTCAAAACTACTTTCCTATTTATTTAAAACTACTTTGTTTTTTAGTTTGATGTTGTACTCATTTTTATTTAACATTTGAATAAGGGTGGCAAGTCAGGAAATCCACCTGATGTGGCACAAATGTTTCATGAAACTCAAAAGGAAGCTAATGAAGTACTAGATATTGGAGATCAAGATAAATATATAAGTAGAATATGTGTTTAAGTTTGATAATGATGCATTATATAGTACTAACATATGAATTTATTTTTTATAGGATGAAATTGTTCAAGTCAAACAAGCAAACCCTTCACTTTCTGACATTGAGATAGTTGAGAAAATCTGGAGAAAGCAATCTCATGGTCACATCACAGTATTTGGTGGCGGGACTACTTTGAAAGATTTGAGAGGACCGCTCCCTAGTCGATCTGATCTGGAAGCACGAGTTATAGAAGAAAAAAGAAAGAACCAGATACTTCAACAACGCTTAGATGAGCAGGAGCAACAACAACAAAGGATGTCTGAGTTGGAGTCACAAGTGAAAGCTATGCAAGAACTTTTTTTAGGCAATCACCTTCATTGACTCCTCAAACTCGAGAACGTGTGCAGGACTAGGTAATTATTTTTTGTAAAATCTCTTATATACTTTTATGATTGACTACTTGCACTAAAAATGTGATTTTTACTTAATAAGATAATATTTGTTTAATTGATATTTCTTAATTATGTGATTTTTTAAAAATTTTCAGGCTATCCATGCAAGATTAGGAGGTGGTAGCTCGAGTCTTCTTTTGACGATGATTAGAGATGAAAGAATGTGTCTTCCTCAAACTTTTATTTTAATTTGGCTTAGATAGTTTCATGTATTTTTCTTTAGAACAATTAGGATATTAACTCTTGTTATTAGTATTGAATATTTGAGGATGATGAAATTTTATTTGTTGATGTTATTAATGAATGGAATTTTTATTTTCCCTCTTATTCATTATTGAGTATTTTTAATATATTTTTGTTGTGAATCTTAGTATCAGGTTGAGAATAATATGATAGTTGTCTATGAATGGAAAAATTATTATTAATGTATATTAGAAATTTATAGTCTACAATGACGGTTTTATAAATCATATTTTATTCATCAACAAAGGAAAAACACCATCGTTGATGGGTGACTAATTACCCATTATGAGGACTTTTACGACGGTATCCAACCGTCATTAATTAGTCTTCAACGATGGGAAAATATTCCCGTAACTAATAGTAACGACGGGAAAATATCCCCGTAACTAATGGTAACGACGGGAAAATATCACGTCACTGATGGTAACGACGGGAAAATATCCCCGTGACCGATAGTAACGACGGTGATAATTACCGTCGTAAATATTAATGACGGTAATATGTTCCGTCGTTATAGACTCTATAACGACGGGTAGTATATCCCTTCGTGACCCTTTAGCGAAGAGGGCTTCAATGACGGGTGACGAAGGGATTTTTCCCCGTCGTTAGCATACAATAACGAATGTTTTCAGCTCTTTAATGAAGGGAAATCCCTTCGTTAAAGATGTAATTTCTTGTAGTGATTGAGGTGTTAACTATAAAATTTAAAATCTTTAAAAACTACTGTTAATTTCTTGATTTATATTTTTTGTTTTAAGTTTTGAAATGTTGGGATGATTTTTATTATTTTAAACTTTTCAAGGTAGTTTATGCAATTTTAAAACTTTTTATGATTTTTTTGCAATACTTCATGTATTATAGCATATTAGCTATGTATAATTTCTTTATCTTAACAAATTGATACCATAAAGATATGTTATATTTTTTATTAATATTATTTTTTTAATAGTTAAGCTATAGATAGTTCATGTAGGATTAGGATAAGATATAATTATGATTAGGATAGATTAAGATATAAATAAAATATTTAAAATAGTGAAGGGTAATATTGACCATAGAAAGATTTTTCCGAACTCGTGCTTTTAAAAGAAGTATGACTAGTTAGATTGCACGTGCAATGTACATGGTCGAATATCATGGTTATTTAAATTGATAAAAATAAAAGAGAAAATAAATTTTTTTGCGGGATTGATTATCAACACAATAATCTCTCTTTCAAATAAAATGTTGTCATTATTTCCTTTAACCCAGACTGTCGCTATGTGATCTACTATTTGTGAGTTATAAACATATTGATCTAGCACAATATCTTTGTTTATTAGAATTTTGAAGTTTTTAAAAGATGGGTGATCGTTCAATTCGCAAAGGAATTTTTTATATGAATTTATTTGCAATATGTCTATTAAACTTTTAGTTATCGTTTGACTCATATTCACATTAACTTTTAGTTATGGTTTCACTCATATTTACATTATCTAATATTCTCATTCAATTTTATAGCTTATTTTTCGTACCATAGAAGTAAAACTAAAAGTATGAAGAATTATTTTCTTGCAAAATTAGAACAATGAGATTATGATATATTTTGCCATGTACTTTAAATATAAAAAATCTCTTTGATGTAAGGTCCCTATCAAATCTTACCCCAAATAATATGAATAAAAAATGCTATTATAACTCACTTACCTGGAGCAATTATATTGTATATAGGACATATACATTAGTCTCATGTATTTTCTGGTTCTGACTGTAAAATACGCAAGAGTGATAGTCCCGTGTATTTTCTAATTTTAATTACTTTTGTAATTAATGTTTTCTAATTACACGGGACTATTAGTCTCGTGTATTTTAAAGATGATTTTTATACAAAATTGAGCTTTTTGTTGCTAGTCTTGATGGTGTGGTAAAAAATAGGTTAATTTTGTTAATTATTATGTAAAACAGTCGATTTTGCTAATATTTTTAAAAAGTGATATTTTTAAAAATTCTCTTAAAATAAACTGTTAATTCAAAATATGAAATGGGCGAAAAGACCTAAACATTCTGATGATTAATTGACCCATAAATAGAAAAAAATAACAATTAAAATGAAAGTATATTTAAATTGAATCTAACAAGGTACTTCACAGAATGAAGCATGAAATGGATCCAAGAAATTATTAGAATAGAATTAAAGAAACTAATTAAAAAAATGAGATCAAGAGATAGAGGGAGAGAAGACCTCACTGACATGAATTCTATTTCTCTTCAAGCATGACAGCAAAATTGGTGGAGAATGAGCGAGGAGAAAAGTGAACAAAATAGGTGACAAAGTGGGTATGCTTATATAAATAGGTTATTAAGATATTCATTTTGAAATCTTAAATACATACATGTTAGTCCCCAACATCTTTGTAATTGCTCATTTACAATGATATTACTATTCAGTATTAAATTAATTTTATTATAGAAGATTATATACCCTTTTTAATAAATTATAAAGTATATATATGGAAACCTTGATATTTATAGACAGTAGTTGGGCTCCACAAAATAGGTTAACTTTATATTGTATTTGCTATTGGTAATATTGTTGGCAATGCCATTACATTTTCTCTTTATCTTATTATTCACACTTTTCTGATGTAAGTCCTTTTTTGTTAGTCACTCGATTGACTCTATTTTATTTTTATAATATCAGATGCTAGAATATTCTTTTCTATTTAAAAAGTGTAGACATGATTTTCTTAAAAAAATATATACACATAGTAACAATAGTATATACTTCAGTTCAACTTAAACATTAGTTTGAAGCCATATAGAATAAGGTTCTGTCTATGCTAGAATGATGACATAGTGATTACATAATCCAAAAGTCAAAGAAAAAATTTCTACAAAGGAAAAGTAATATAATATGTCAAATTAATAAAATTTACATGGACAGTGCAAAGAGCGATAAAAAATAAGGTATATATCTTCATAAAAATTTTATAGTGAGTGATCATCTACAATCATTCTAATTTAAGCATAAATAATTATTTTTTAGTTACTAATTTGATACGCGAAACTATAAAATAAATCTCAAGCAAAAAATAGGAATTGAAATTATATTATCCTGCAAGTAAATAAATAAATATAATTTAAAAGTAATAATTTAACCTATTAAGTGCCAAATATTAGTTCATGCGAGAAAGTAAAGTAATTTGTGGTCTATATACATATGGTGGGTTTACATTAAATATAATTTATAAAAAATAGTATATTAAAGTCAAAAACCTTTTAACCATCGTATAGATTATTTGAATTTTTTTACATGTATAAACTATACTAACTAATAACAGTGATGTGCATACTTAACTATAGCCTAATACATCTTAAGAACGACTTACTCTTCAATATCATCATTAATTGATGTATTTATGCATTACACTAAAAACATAATAAAAATTTAGAAAACTATAAAAAAAATACCCTCAAAAGTTTTTAAAATTGTAAAAAAACACCCTAAACTTTTATAATTTATAAATACACAAAACTATTAAAAATTATATTAAAATCAAGGAACTACAAAAAATCATTAAAAATTTTCAAACTTTATAGAGGTAATTTGCAATGTACTAAACTTTAAGTTTGTTTTTTTGTAAATTTTAAATCTAACAGATTTTTAATTAGTTATGTTCTTTTAAAAAAGTTATGAGTAATATTGACTATAAAAGTTTTTCCTAAACCTATACTTTTAAAGGGAGTATGATATTTTTTTGTAAATTTTTTATTTTCTAGGGGTTGCTAGTAATTTTATATATTCATTTTAGTGTCTATATGTTAGAAATTTTTATGGTGTTTTTTTTATAAATTATGAATATTAGGTTTTTTTGTATTTTTTAAAACTTATAGGTCTTTTCTATAGATTGTAAATTTTTTATAGACTATTTATAATTCCTATATTTTTAATTTACTAATGAGTTTGAAATTCTCAGGGTATTTTTGTAAAATTTGAATTTTAAGTGTTTTTTTATAATTTTTAAAACTATAAGGGTGTTTTCTATAAATTATATATTATATAGGGGATATTTGTAACTCATATATTTTAAAGGTACTGTTAGGTTGGAAATTATTGGGATTTTTATAAATTTTACAATCTTGAGGGTTTTATCTTGCAATTTATAAAAAGTTTAGAGTATTTATTGTAAATTCCATAAATATTTGGGGGTTGTTTGTGTTATTTGTAGGTTTTTAGTGTGTTTATAGGTTTGAAATTTTTTAGGTGTTTTTTACAAATTTTAAATTTTATGAGTGTTTTTATATTTTTTAAAACTTACAAGATACTTTCTCCAATGTTAAAAACTTTTATTTTTAGCTAGCATATATTTTTTAATTTTCTCACAGAATTGAAATAAGTAAAATTTATAATTTTAAATAAAATTTTAAATTTGTAGAGGGTGTTTTTGCAATTTTAAAACTTAGAGGGTATTTTTATAAGGTCCAAAACTTTTAGGTGTTGGCTAGCATATATTTTTTAGATTTCTCTACAAACTAAAATAAGTTAAAGATTTAAATCATATCAAACATATCACCTTTATCCAATAACATGTTAAGTCTCATTATGGATAGGATAAATCATTTAATTATAAATTCAAAGAATATAGAAAAATTAGAATAAAATAAGATAACAATATAATATTTTAAAAATGTTAAGAGTAATATTGACCATGGAAAGATTTTTTTTCCAACTCG